GCGGAGCACAGCGGGCCGTTTGCTGCAGTGCTTGACCACGGCCAGCAGCCATACCGAAATGGCCTGGCGCGAGTGTGGATTGGGTTCAGTGACCAGCCGAATCAGGGAGTTGAGGAACTCCTCAAATGTAGCATCGTTGCAGTGGACATTGACAAAGTCCTCGGCTGGCTGCCCCTTGTTGACATCATATCCGCAAAGGGTGTTGACAATCGCCTCCGATATGGCAATATTGAGGGCTGCATCCTTTTGGACCTTGGCGAGGGTGAGGAACTTTTCTAGGTTGCGCTTGGTGAAGTGCTCGCCATCGCCAATTGCCAGATAGCCCAAGCACTTGGCCGCCTCCTCGCGATTCTTTTGGCGGGACGAGGAGCTGCGCAGCAGTTGGAAAACTACACCGAAGATGAGTAGCTTGGTCGAGGCCTCAATGTTCTGGAGCTCGGTCATTTCCTCATCGTCGTCGCCACCTTTGCTGCTGACGGCCGCTTGTATCTCGACTTTGACATTTGGAATCTGGACTGCCTTGCCGATCATGGACAAGCACTTAACGGCGGCCGAAACCAGCAGCCATTGCGACTCGCACAGGTTCTTGGCTGGAGCAAAAAATGGAATAATTACAATTTTATAATTCAGTTTCCATCAAGCGATTACTTACAAATGATCTTTACGGCCTCGATAAACTGCGGCCATGTGGAATAATCCTTTGGCGTGTTCGACTGCTTGAGCATGGCAATCTTTCGATTGAATGCGTGTCCCAACACCAGCAGCCAGCCATGCTTGTGCTCCAGAGTTTTCTGCGTGAGGCTGACCATGCACTCAGCGACCTCTTCATCGAACTGATCATCGTCCAGCCCAGAGGCCCACAGAATGGCATACACCTGGGATACATGGATGCGCATTGTTTCGGACACATCTTTCAGGGAGTTGCTCAGAGGTTCCAGCAGATGCAAGTTCTTTGCCGCAAACAGGTCAGGGGCGGCAGTCAACAGGTCGTACAGACAGATAAGATTCGATTCACCTGGAACAATTGAGGAGAAGTTGTAGCAGAGTATAAAAAAGATTCCATTCGATTACTCACTCCTTTTGGCCTCCACGCCACGCTGTACAAACTGCACATATTGATTGATGGCATTCCCTTCCTCGTCAACGTAATTGATGTTGATGTATTCGCGCAATTCCGGGGTGTACTTCTCATCGCCCGGAGCAGACACCACCCCAGCCGAGTACCACAAACACAGACGCAGATAGTCGAGCAGCTCTTCGTATACTTCCAGGCTATAGGGAAGCTTGGTACGACCCACCACCACACACGAGCTGTTCTTCTTTAGCCGCTTGTTGGCCATTTCATGGACATGCGACATCATTACCTGGAAACTTGGCAACACCACACGGCGCTGTTCCAGCGAGAGATGGTTAAAGTCGCTGATGGTCTCACTGTTGCTGTGGTTTCCCGCCTTCTCAATGGAGGAGATCAGGCTGTAGTTGACATGATCCTTCTTCGAGGTGCCGTACAGATACGTGGTCACATTCTCGCGCAGAGAATTGCTGATCGTTGAAAGAGAAATACATCAATAAGATACATGGATCGGTAATGAATTAAAGCATGTAGTTACCGTTCGCCTGCGATGAGCAGCAGCAGGTATCTGGCAGGCGCAAAATACTCCGGATAGCAGCTGGTTAGGAACACGCTAGTCACATTCTGGACAATCTGTACCTTCGACTCGGCGTTGTCTAGCAGCATGGCCAGAAGCAGATGGTGCTGTCCGTCCAGCTTCACCTCAGATGGATCATCCACATCCATTGCCTCGGAGGTCTCCTTCGTTTTCCATGCGAATGCCGGAGCCATGGAGACTAAAGCGTCGCGTATGGAGGAATGTAAGTCTGGGGCACTGTTTGCCAGGTTATTGAAGTAGCCCAGCACCAGCTTTAGGTCCTGATTGACGTCATTAGGGAAACTGCGGGCATGTTGAGCCAGCGCTGAGTAGGCCGCATTCTGCACATCATTGGGCTCGGCTGTGTCGCGTCCAATGACTTTGGTGATGCCAGTGAGGATTACCCTGGAAACCTTGGAGACCAAATCACGGGGTCCGCTGCGGACGGAACAAAGGGGAAGCGTAACATGAGCGCACAGGAATTTGAGTTAATACAATTTCTATATCTATTGCTTACTCTTTTAGAACCAGTTCCACAAACTGCAGTGCCAAAACCTTGCATTTTTGATTCGTGTTTGTGCCAAACAGTCCCTCAAAGATTACCTGCAGGCCCTTGGTGACATTGATGCTCTTACCACGGCACCTGATCAGATACTGCAGCAGCTTCTGACGGACACGGGCGCAGCAGGGACGCGTCTGACGGTCTGGTAACTTGCTCTGATTACCTATAAAGAGCGTGTAGAGGGGAGCCGTGACGGCTGGATTGCTGAAGTCCAGCATGGTGCACAGCTTGCTCAGCTCAGCTATGGCCGGAGTGGCCACACTGAAGCGAGTGTCTGCTGAAGCCACCACGAGGGGCACAAAGACTTGGAGATCGGTGAAAATGCCGGCGCACAGGAACCGAACGATGCCCTTCTTAACCTTCTCCAGCTCCTCGGCCCGCCAGTTGTTTGCAATAACCCGCTTAAAGTTGTAAACACTGAGACCTGCAGGGACATCATGCTCCTGGGTGATGCCATAGGGAAGGAGCAGTACGTCTTGAAGGAGTGAAAGGAAATTCGTGCTTATCGAATGCTTTCCCTGCAGATTCAGCAGGGCCGCCCGCTGTGCGGGATCATCCGGTATCTTCATCTCGCTCAGTATCGGCAACAGCAGTGTGAAGAGTTTGTCCTGGTAGGTTTCCAGCTTGTCCTCGCTACCGACAACTTTGGCTGCCAACGCGGCTTGCTGCTCCAGCGAAAGGCGCGGGAACCCCATCGCGATGAATATGATGCCAAAGTTCTTGAGAAATGTTGTGCTATTATGGGCTGCATACTGGTCCAAAAGAGCCTCAACGGGGATCTGCACTAGCGCCCGAGAGGCGAGCCGGCGCTTGATGTGAGTGAGCACCTCCACAACCTGCAAGTTGGGGAAGTGCAATGTATCAGTCAAAAATGACTTTAATTTTTTGCAGCGTCATTCTACTACACGGCGATGACGACCGGCACCAATGGGTGATCCGTTTTGGCCATTTACTTGCCTTTGTGCGGACTTCATTGTGGGGGGAGTTGATCTTAAGTATAACTGGAGTCAGAAACTTTCCCACCGTGGCCTCCAACTTCTCATCGCTGTCTGTATTGCCCAGACGCAACAATACGCGCTCTAGGAGCTCTGAAAAATTGAATGCAAGTTGTATTTTTAATAAGCCAAAAGCTTCGTTTCCAGCCGGCTTATGCCTCGATCCAGGCCGACCCGAACCGGGCCTCATATATTCAGCTAGCTACCCTTTTCAATTTTATTTTACCAATTTCCGCACTAGGTCCAGTTTCCATTTTCTTGTTTTTCTTTTTGTATTCAGTTCAGCGAACAGTGTTGCCAAATTCACCGTGGACAGCTGCTTTTTCGTATATCGAAATTGGTTCAATTCGATGTTAAGTGTTAATTAATGCCGCCACTCAACTGTCTTTTTGAACATTTTCAAAAACTCTTTTTTATTGTACAATTAATTTGTACATATGCATACACATATATATTTAGTCATGTATTCCTGAAAGATGTCTAGCTCTGATTTCCATTTCCTGCTCGAAAATTCTGTGTAATTCTCATGATGCACAGGCACTTATCAGAATCTCCATGAACTGCATTATTTCGATGATGTTTCCTTTGTCTACTTATAAGAATCAATCCTACACTGAGCTACATCCGCGTAATCAATTCTTGGTACCCATTCTTGGGATAATTCTGCAAAAATGTCACGGATTTATTGACTATAAAAACTGCAGCAAATGTTCAGAGCCATCAGTGAGCTTTCAAACAATTCACAAGATGCATTACTCCTCGTTGATCTTTGCTGTGACTATAGCAGTGCTGGTGAGATGAATAACACATCAAGCCTGTGAGTTTCCTTATTCAAGCAATTTGTTTTCTAGGGCCATGTCAGTGCTGCTCCAAGGAAAAATTACACTGAGATAGTCTGTGAATTTCTGGAAAATCTTGAGGTCGATCGACAAATTATGCTAGAGTCCCTAGTGGAGAAAGCAGCAAATCTTGGACAGGAAACCATTCGGCAGCTGCCAGCGAACTCGGGCTTTGAAAAATGTGTGGGTCGGGAGCTATCCGTCTGGTACCTCACTCAAACAGCAGAGTGGATGATTTCCTTTTTGAAAAAGATCAGGTGCTCCTACAAGCGACAGATCCTCTGCAAAAGGAACTACCAAAACCAGCCCAATTTCCGGAACGCGTACAACGCGTGGCAGTCCGCAAGTAACGATATAATCTCAGATTTTCATATGGAGTTGGCCCAAAATGTTGAAGGGCTGTCTCCAAGAATATCGTCGCGTCATATGTTTGAGTTGCTGGATTTAATTAACTCCTACATAAATCGCAATGGAGTAAATCCTCACGATATGTTCGATCATTTTTTTAATTCCGCCAAATCCAAGTACGGTTGCACCTTTGAGCTGACCTTACTCTAAACCTATTTTAATAAGAAACATTATATTCAGATTGCAAGATGTTTTTATTTAAATAAATCGACACCGTTTAAAACTATTAACTGATGCAATCTGTCTTGAGTGTTCGGTCATTTTGAGTTCTGAAAAAAGAAAAAATTTCATGAGTAAGGAATTGGGATAATTTCAAATTAATGTAATATTTAATTGGAAAATTTCAGTATTTTTACATGTTGTTAAAAGAGTCAAGGTTCTTCAGCAATTTGTTTTATGAAGACCGTCATGATTTTATCATCAGAATATCAATTAAATACACATATAAATCCTATATATAGCAGTTTTATACACACCTTTGAGTTAAGTGGTTGCCCGCAACTTCTGAAAATGCTGTGGAAGCTAAGAGGACTGGACAGTGGAATAATAGCGATTAAAGTTAAATTGTTGTTTTATTCAAAATGAATAATTGCTACAAATATTATCTTTTCCGCTGGTGTTTGTCCTCGTTTAAAACTTCTTGAAGCTCTTCTTGGCGCCCTGACCCTTGTTCACTTTCAGAACATTGAAACGCACAGTCTTTGAGAGAGGACGGCACTCGCCAATGGTGACAATGTCGCCGTGCTCAACATCTCTGCAATGATACAAATTAACAATTTCCATTAGAAGATATTTCCACCAGTTCGTTGCGCCTCGGGTTAGTTTCGTGATTCGTTCAGTATTTTTACATTTAGTAAAAAGAGTCAAGTTTCTTCAGCAATTTGTTTTATGAAGACCGTCATGATTTTATCATCAGAGAAGGGAACGTTAGTTCGTTGCGTCTTAGGTCGAGATTCGCAATATTACCTGAAAGCAGGCGAGCAGTGGACGCTCATGTTGCGGTGACGCTTCTCGAAACGACTGTATTTGCGCACAAAGTGCAAATAGTCACGACGAATGACAATGGTACGCTGCATTTTCGCCTTGCGGACAACACCAATCAGGATGCGACCACGAATACGAACATCGCCAGTCCAGGGGCACTTCTTGTCAATGTAGGTACCATCGATGGCCTGCGATGGAGAAGATAAACATATTAGATTGGGAGCACTTTATCATCGAGTGGGGACTCGTCACCTCACGGGGGGTCTTGAAGCCCAGGCCGACATCACGATAACGGCGGAGGATCTTCTTCTTGGTGACGCCAGGCTTCACCTTGCGGTTCAGGTTGACACCAAATTGTTTTTGGAAGGCGCGCTCGTTCTGGTTAGTTTAGGTGGGAGCGTATCGAGGGAAGGTGGCAGGCAGGAGCGTTCAGCGTGCGGGATTTAAACGGAAACAAAACGAAAGGGGCGCAACATTAGTCAAAGTTTGTCTTTGAACCTCTTACCTCGGCCGGAGCCTTAAACCCCAAGCCAATTTGGCGGTAGAAACGGGGTCGCTTCTTGAGATTGATGCTCTTGCGACGAACTGTGGCCACCGCATGTTGTTTGCGGAATGCACGTTCAGTTTGCTGGAATACATTTCGTGTACATTTTGTCAGATACCATGCGCTAAAGTTGGGTTAGGTTGAACTTGGACCACTGTTTCTTCCTCCGCATCACTTTATGGCCCACCATCCAACGTCCATTCACGCACAACTCACTTACTCTCACATTTGAACTATCCCTTTGTCTTACATCCGTCCATAAACCGCGTTAATTCATTAAATTTTAACACATTCAGAAATCTTACCTGATCAGCCATGTTGTTGAAGCAAAAGAAAGGAAGTTCGGAGCAGTGTGGCCGCACGTGGTCGAAAATACCCCCACACCCTCCTAAAAATACCAAAATATACCTACTTATTTACTAAATATGCCGGAAATATACCGAACTATCGGGATCCCCCGATAGAATCGATGGTTTTTTGACAGTCGATGTCAATGGCAGTCGATGTATGCATGGAAGTATATCTATTTTTTTTTAAATAATGATTCTCGAGAAGATATATTATATCTAATATATTTAATTTATCTACTTAATTTATTTATCTTATCCTGATATTTTCTCCCCAAATTTGACCATTGTTGGACTATTGTTGATAACATATGTTGAAATATCAATATCGGAAATATTTTTTATATTTGATCCGATAATATGAATATCAGTATGCTTAAAAAATATATTTTGTACTGCTGTTTGCAATACAATGCCTTCGGTAGAAGTTTCCTATCGTATTGGCCGAATCGACAGTCGATATATTTTGCCTGCTGCAGGTGTGACCAGAGGTTAAAACATTCCGTACGGTTACACTACTGACGAAGCCGTTTTGTTTTGTTTACTTTTTGAAAATATGTCGAAAGTGAATAAAAAGTTGATAAAACAATGAAAGCAAAATGTATCCATACAGGAGATTACTTTTAGTGGGACTGGCGGCTCTTGCATTTGCGTACTAGGAGGACATCATCATCAAAATCATCATTACTTCCCTCTATAACAACTATTTTGAGTTGAGTGAGCTCCTATATCTCTCATCTGTCTCTACAAGTGGCAAAAAAACCCATAGTTTGACATATTCGGCTAATAAAACAGCTTAGCAAGCCTTTAATTCAAAATATAGCTAGCTGCGCGCGCTCTTGATGGTCAGGGAAATCCTCTCCTGTATCTAAACGGAAAGGAAACTGAACTCTGAACACTGTCAGTGGGTAGGTAAATTACACAAAGTAGTTCTATATTCTACATGAGGCCAGGAATAAAACCAAGTGTAGAGGGCGCTTTTGAGCAGTCGCAGGGCTGCTTTCGTAGGTCGTTGACTATTTGAATATGTTATTTTCCTCGGTCTTTAGTTTCACTTCACTTGAATTAGCATATCGCTGATTCAACTTTGCGTCTTAGCAACTTTGTCCCAGCCATTGACCTTCATCTTGGCTGACGTTGCTAAAGCCAAGCCAGATATTTCTCTAGAGCCACTTGAGAAGAAATGTCTTTGTGGCAGCGTTTGATATTTTTATTTTTGTCAAGCACATCATACATACATAGCCTGTGCTTTTTCTGCTCCCCCCTCACATACTTCTGAGGCAACGCCGTGCATTAAAAAATGACAACACACTAACTTTTAAAGGAAATGCCTGAGCGCTAATTCTCCACATAGCTGTGGGGACTGCAGAAAAATATGTCAGATTAAAAATAATGACAACGTAAAACGAGTGCAAGTGCACGTCCTTGAAATGACTGCCAGTTCCTCTCCCTTTTTTCTTCTTCTTTTCTGGTCTCTCTCTCTCTCTCTCTCTCTCTTTCTGGTCTGACCAACCAAGGCGAAAGCTGCTGCAGCTGCTGTAAATCCGTTTAGGGCTAAAACGTCACTACTGCCTGCATTTTCATTGCCATTGTTAAATGTCTGCAGCATAAACTAACGGTAAACGCTGCCTTGGGCTCTGACGTTGGGGCTGGCGGGGCCGTTAGGCGTGGCATGCGTGTGCCGGTGAAGGTTTTCTGCATCGTCCTCCCTTCTTTCCTCGGCAAGGTGAAATCGCCGAGCCGAGCCGAGCCCGATGATGGCAATGAAATCCTTTTACTATCCTGCTCTGTTCTCCGCCCAAGGTCTCTCCACCTATCCACAAATAACGGAAACGGTAAGAATGTGGATTGTATGGATGAGGCGCGGGCACAGTAGCTTTAAGGTTAGTTTATCCATACATATTCCATTCCTTATTTCGACTCAGAGAACAGCAGAACACAACATCATTTGGTATTTATTGATTAAATAAGCCCCGGGACATCATAAACAGCAGTAACAAAGTTGATAACTTTCGCCCCCTACTCCTCTGAATTTCTCTCTGTTATTATGATTTCATGCTTATTGCCATTATTGGTGTTGTTTTGTGCTGTGGAAAATGGAAAAAGTTGTATGGCCCCCAAAAGTTTCCACTGCTCGCAGCCATTTAAATGCAATGCTTTAATATTGTAAAACACTTTAAAGTCAGAAACTTTTCACTTTCGCCCTCAAATTAAGAAAATAATTTCCATGCTGCCGAAAGCCAAGCAAGAAACAAAGAGCCCTCCCCTGGTAGATAGCGACATCAAGTCCGCAGCTTAACGGTACATTAGGTAAACAGTGTTGTCAGCACGGGCGAGGAGAAACATAAGTGTGTAAATGTGTATGTATGTCTGTATACTTGAAACTTGAAAGTGGGTTGAAAGCCATTAAAGGAGCAGAGCAGAGCAGGAGCATAACGGAAACCGCACTCCATCGAGGTGGGATGTGAGACTGTGGTACGCACTGTGGTGTGTGGTGGACGGAGCGTGTATTTGAAAAGTGACCGAGATAATTTTTGGCATGCTTTGTTTGGTTTTACTGTCTTCCTCCGTGGCGCCCCCAAACGAAACATTCTCTTGCCAGCTCTTCGTTCAGCTTTGATGAGCAGCAGCTGGGATGTGGTTTAGGTGCGTCCCTCCCTCTGAATCCGCTCTCTTGGTGGGTTGTTGTTTAACAAGTAAATTTATGCGCTGCGCGTGTGGGTGTGGCTGGGACAGAAGTTTGCCTACCCTACGTCTCCCTCTCACTCTCCTCGTAAAAAGCAAAAGGAAACAAATTATTACGATGCTGTATTTTTTGGGCAATGTTCCTTCGGACCTCAGCCTGGACCCACACCACCTGCCCACCTGCTGTGCACCCGAAAAGAAGGGTTGAACGCCGTAATTATGTTAATTTTACGTAAACGAAAAATTCCTTAAATATTTTGAAATAAAAGCCGGAGCCTTAATGATGGAAATGCTTGCCAGATCACAGCCCCAATAATGCTCTGACGCTTTCCGGGTAATTATTGGGAAAGCTGACAGATTGAACGGAAATTAGCTTAGGAAACGTAAAGTCAATTTCCGCCTTGTCAATTATCCAACAGCTTGGATGGGGGATGTACCTAAATGTTAAAGCTGTAAAATCATGGCATACCCGAGGGAAGGAAATTAGAAAAAATCCGTGACACACAGAAGAACTGTCGCTTCTCCTATTGACTCTATCTCTCCCAAAGTTCCCCCGGATTTCTTGCTAATTAGACGTGAACAACAGCACAACGGTACTTGACTACCGTCTAATCGGAGCACCATCCATCCACGTTGAAATCCTCAAAATCACAAAATCACACAACAAACAATTCGGGGGGGGGGGCCTGCCCGGGGGGGGGCTGTCCTCTGGCCACCTTACCACTCCGGCACACTAATTGAAAAACTTTAGGGCTATCCCCCAGCTAAGAGTCAGGAACACGTGCCACCTACTGATTCGGCCGTGGGAGGCACTGCATCAGACCATTCGGCCCATGTCTGGGTCGCTTGGTCTTTTTAAGGTACCAACATGTCTCCCCGCCATCTCTGGTTCCACCTCAAACAACACAACTCCCACCCGCTCCTGTTCGTGCTCTGGCGTTCGCATAAAAGGACGCAAAAATGTTCGAAACTAAAGAGCAACAACGATATCCGCCGAGCTGGCAATAAAAGCTTGTTCCAGGCACAGCACAGAACTTGGGCGCTTCAAGAGAATTTCACCAACAGTTTTCGGGCAGTTATGTTATCAGTCTGGGAAGGAAATATTTATCAATTGAATTGCAATTGTTTCATCGACAATGCTGCACCTTTGCTCTTCGGATTCAATTGGAGTTGTAGAGTTGGCTTAGGCTCTCCCAGGTACAAGTCTTTGTAGAGCATTAAATGCTCGACTTGGTGTGGCATTCACGTATATTTTTTTTGGGTTGGTTTTGTGCTTGGTATCCGTTACCGTTGGGTCTTGGGCGCTAAGTGGCCTGGAGCTTCTGGTCTATCTCCATCTTCCTGTCATCCTGCACCTCGCCGCGGGAATTGTGAGGCGTGGATTTATTGGCCGTGCCCGCTGGCAGACCGTAAAAACGAAATTCGCGTTAATTTCTTAAATTGAAGCGTATTCCAGGCAGAAGGAAGTAGTAGAAGACGAAGATTGTATTTCCTTTCATTGTTGGGCGCCGTCTTCTACAGGCCCCATAGGATTCGGAGGAGGAAGGGAAGCGAATCGAAGCAACGGAAATAGGCCCGAAACCGACGCTTAACATGATTAAATACATATACGTACATATGTATATACCCGATAGGCTATGTGGAAATGGAGTTTACTGTATATTGCGTGTCCGTTCTATTATATTCCTGCTCTATTATATCTCTGGTTCTGGACAGATTCAGCATTGTCCCATTGTTCATCGTAAATTTATGCCAGACATTGTCATGATATATACGAAAATTTGGGTGTAAATTACCATTAAGTGGATTTCGCTATTCCTCCCACATACAGTCACTGAAAATATTAATTTAGATTTTAAAAAAGCGATTGAAAGGCGAGTAAGTTGAATCATTAATGCATATAAAAAATAGACATGTGTATGTATGAACATTTCATCCCAGAATTAATTGAATTTAAAGTTCAATGAAATATTAGTAGCCAATTATTCATTCCTTTCGCATGCTCTTCGAAACTGGGCCAACAAAGATTTGTGCCTCTGCATCCGCCACACACACATTCTCGTGCTCATCCTCATCCACTCATAGCCATTTCTAGAGCTAGAACCAGAGCCAGAACCACATTCATGGGACAATAGTGGCTCATGTTTATGGTTATCGCTGTTGCTGTGTTCATCGATTGCTCCCAAAGAGAGAGGAGTGGAGTGGAGTGCAGTGGAACTTTGTATTGTAATCATCGACAAGGATTTACGACTGGCATTTATGGGAAAACTTTTGGCCAAGGACTGAGTCGTCCCCGCTGCCGCTACCGCTCCCACTCCCGTT